GCTAATTTTTTATTTATTGTAGAGAAGAGGTCTCGCCAAGTTTCCCAGGCAGGTCTCGAACCCGCAGGCTCAGGCAATCCACTCACCCAGCCTCCCAAAGGCGTGGAATTACAGGCTGAGCCACCGAGCCCAGCTTGTAGTTTCAACTCAATCCCTATCAAGATACCAACATTTTTCGGCCAGGCTCGGTGGTTCATCCTGTAATCCTGGCACTTTGGGAGACCGAGGCAAATGGATTGCCTGAGCCCACAGGTTCGAGACCAACCCAGGGAACTTGGCAAGATCTCGTCTCTACAATAAATCAAAAATTAACCGGGCATGGTGGCACGCACCTGTAGTTCCAGCCACTTGGAAGACTGAGGCGGGATTGCCTGAGCTCAGCAGGTCGACACTGGGGTGGCTGTGAGCGTGCCAAGGTATTCCAGCCTGGGTGACAGAGTGAGACTCCAACTCAAAAAAACAAAACAAACAACAACAACAACAAAAGATACTAACAATTTTCACAGAACCGGAAAAAGCAATCTTAAAGTTTACATGGAACTAAAAAAGAGCCCGAATAGCCAAAGCAATCCCAAGTAAAAAGATCAAATATGGAGGTGTCATATTGCCTGACTTCAAATTATGCTACAAGGCTAGCAACTAAAACAGTATGGTACTGGTGCCCTCTCATCATATACAAAAATGATCTCAACATGGAGTCAAAACTTAAATGTAAGACCTGAAACTCTGAAAATCCTAGAAGAAAACATCAGAGAAACTCTTCTGGACATCAGCCTAGGCAAAGAATTTATGACGAAGACCCCAAAAGCAAATGCAGCCCCCCCCCAAAAAAAGAAGAATTAAACTAAAAAACTTGCACAGCAAAAGAAATAACATGGTGAACAGAGAAGTCTAAAAAATGGCAGAAAATATTTGCAAATTATGCCTCAAAGGACTAATATCCAGAACCTACAAGGAATTCAAACAACCAGTATTAAAAAGCAAATAACCCATCAAAAAATGGGCAAAGGACATAATAGACACTTCTCAAAAGAAGACACACAAGTGGCAAACAAGCATATGAAAAAATCACTAATCATCAGATAAATGGAAATTAAAACTACAATGAAATGCCATCTGATACCAGGAAGCAAGGGCACTCTTTTGAGAAATTTCCCTCATTGTCGCCTTCAGGCGGTGACTTTCTACCCTACCTTATAGAGACAACAGCACTGTAAGTTCCTTGATGAACCACATTTACTTCAACATGACAATGAATTTCCATCTATGTGTAGTCTTACCCTTAAATTTAGTCTCAGAGGAAGAAATTTTGGTCCCACAAGTCCAGTACTATTACTATGCATAGTGCATAAGCTGTGTGAGTCACAAAACAATGAAGAGACTTCCACTTCAGGAAGATAGAGTCGACCTGACTTTCCCTACTCCTCCTGCCAAGTCCCTAAACCCATGGACACGTGCCAAACAAACAGAAGATGACATTGAAAATGGAGAGAAGGCAGACCAGCCAGGGACCTCAGGACCCAAAGAACCCCAGGGCAGTGAGTTCCACGACAGGTTGTGTTTTTGCCTCATACATCCCGGGCCTGGAGCTGAAGAATCTGACAATCCAGAAACGCCAAGAGGTACAAAGAAAAAGCCCTAAGAAAAGCTCCCCTTTCTAATCTTGATCCCCTCCTTCCCAACTGGCATCCTTACACCATTCTCCGGTCCCCACCCTTCCCCCCCTCACTAAAATTATTTCCCTAAAATTTCCACCTAGTCTCCTTCATTTCACATTTCATCCCCCTGTAGTCTCTGTAGCGTGGGAACTTTCTTGACCAGAAATTTTACCTCTGGCAAACAAGGGAAATCTTTTTCTAGATGCCACCTAAACCCCACTTCATTTATGATTCTGGGCCTTAAGATTTCTCAGTGTTCCTTTACGTCTATTATGGGCACACATTCTTTAGCCCCGTCCAGCGAACGTTAAGTTCTCTCATCATCTGGAATATCAAATCCCGTATTTTTTGCCTCCCCTGAGCCCTCTGACCCTACAGTAGAAGCAGCCCATGGAAGTGCCATTCTTGCGACTTTCTGCATCAGGACTAAGCTACGCAGAACAGAGCGAGAAAGAGACTTACTGAACAGGCTATTCCAGGTCGTATTTGTCTTTTCCTTAGACTTCATTTGCCGGAAAACGAGCACCTTGTGATGTTCGAGGTTTTGCAGCAATTCTTTACAGTAAAATGGAATCCCACAGCTTCCCTCCACCAGGTACCTATAGCGAAAACAAGGCAGCCTGTTGACACTGAAGATCTGTCACTTAGGAAGGAAAAACATGGAGTCTTCTCAATCACTTGAAAACAATTCCTTCTCATTCTCCATTAGTTTCTGTTTGTTTTCAATTTTTAGGAATTGCTTTTTTCTTTTTTTAATTTCTCCACCCCTGTGACAGATTAGGATCTCTTTTTTCTCTTTTTTTCACTTTTAAATTATGTAAAACATCTCCCCAGAGCCCAAACTATATAAGGTATGTCCTTAGTCTTGCTTCCCTCCCTCATACTATAGGAAACAATTGTGATTAGTTTTTGGTTTATCCTTCCAATGTTTCTTTTAAAAGATATAAATGCACACACACACACACACACACACACACACACACACACACACACACACCCCTGTATCATGCCTTTCTTTGATATCAGCATGTTACACACACCACATCCTGGGCTGCACCCTGTTTCCTTGCTCACTGTGTTCTGGTCATCCCTCCTTGAGAGTAGGTCTTTCTTGTTTCTTTTGACTGCTAAGATAGTGCCCCACTGTGTGACTGCATCGTCATTTATTCAACCCATCTTCACCTATCCTCTTAGAGACAGACATGTGAATTGTTTCTAGTCTTTTATTAATACAAATAATGTCTCAGTAAAAACTTTGTCCATATGTCACTTCATATTTTTCTCACTATATCTTTGAGACAGATTCCTAAAATTGGATTGCTAGGTCAAAAGGTAAATGCAGTCAGACAGACAGACAGACAGACACACACACACACACACACACACACACACACACACACACACACACACATGCAGAGAGAGAGAGAGACAGAGACAGAGAATTAAATTCATGTCTGGAGTTATCTTAAAGGAGCCTCTGTCCAAGAAATATTTCTTCCAGAAGCAAGGCAACCACATTAGAAAGAATAGGTGCTGCTGGGCGCGGTGGCTCATGCTTGTAATCCCAGCACTTTGGGAGGTGGAGGCGAGAGGATTACCTGAGCCCACAGGTACGAGACCAGCCTGGGCAACATGGCAAGATCTTGTCTCTACAATAAATTAAAAAACTAGCTGGGCGTGGTGGCGCATTCCTGTAGTTCAGCGACTTGGAAGGCTGAAGTGGAAGGATTTTCTGAGTCCAGCAGGTTGAGGCTGCAGTGGCCATGAGTGTGCCACTGCATTTCAGTCTGGGCGACAGAGTGAGACGGCAACTTGAAAGAAAGAAAGAGAGAGAGAGGGGGAGGGAGGGAGCGTGGGAGGGAGGGAGGGGAAGGAAGGAAGGAAGGAAGGAAGGAAGGAAGGAAGGAAGGAAGGAAGGAAGGAAGGAAGGAAGGAAGGAAGATAGATAGAACAGGTAAAGGCCAGGTACAGTGGCCTATGCCTATAATCTCAGCACTTTGGGAGGCCGAGGCAGAAGTATCACATGAGCTCAGCCTGGGCAACATAACAAGACCCTGTCTCTACAAAAATTAAAAAATATTTAGCTGAGCATGGTGACATGATCTGTCGTCTCAGCTCTTCAGGAGGCTGAGACAGGAGGATCCCTTGAGCCCAGGAATTTGAGGTTGCAGTGGGCCATGATTGTGCTACTGTACTGTACTGTACTCCAGCCTGGACAATGGAGCAAGACCTCAACTCTTAAAAAAGTAAAAATAAAAATAAAAGAAAGAACAGCTGCAGATACCAAGCTGGGCTGTAACAGTCAGCTAACCAAGAGACACTGTCTATGCTGTTAGGGGGACTGCTGTCAAGACCCCAGTCAAGGAATCACTGGAAAGCTCAGAGAGTCAGCTTTCTACATCTGCCATAGACAGAGAACATCAATACTGACTCAAGTGAGTCTACCCATGCCCACCATGACAAAAGGGAAACAAACCAACCAAGTGAAGTTTGAGAAGGTGTGACGGGGACAGCATATGGAAAAGTTGAGTGACATCCATTCCACCAAGCATAATGAACGGCCCTTTTTAAAGATGGCACCAGCAAAAATACTGAAACAGAGATTCCGAGACACATACTGAGGAATCTGAGGATTCAAGTCTGGACCTAGGGGATGAAAATGGATGTCAAGACCTCAATATAGACACAGGTTGCTTACATGTCCAGCTCTTTAGGAATGCTGCTCACATCGAGGTTCAGACAGACCATGTCGCGGATGTCTTTTGGCTGGATCGCGCCAAGGGTGATGTAGGTGGTGATCCTGTTCTTCATGATGGCACTGGCAGCTGCACAGGGAATGTCAACAAAGGGAGACAGGGACATGACGATGATGATAGGCACATTCTGGATAAGCTTCTCCATGAATGCCCAAGAGGTCAAATCCACAAACTGGGCCTCATCAATGATGAAAATAATGCTTTCCTCTGTTGCTGTCTGGACAATGTAGAGAAACAGAAAGAAAAACACTGTAAGACTTCAGGTTTTTATATGTGTGTGTGGGTATGTGTGTGTATTCAATGAATTTTGTGATTTGCTTATAAGGAAGAGACTGAACCAGCTAAGTGAAATCCCTTTCTTTCCAGTAACTTTGTGTTTATTTAGGTTTCATTAACTCAGGATTTGTAGCAATTTGGGCAGAACTGGCTGGAATGAACTCATACTTGGTCAGCCCTTTGTGGAAAGATAACACAAGGCTAGATGGGGTAGTAGGAGCACCTACAAAAGTCAAGTAAAATTCCCACTACGTAAGAATAACTGACTTGGTAACCACAAGTCATTTTAATCTATTGACCAACAAAGTCCTCCCAGGGCTATCTACCTGACATTTACTCAGCCAACATATATTCAGCACTTGCCCACTGAGCACCTACTGAGCTAGGTGCTGATGGAAATGGATCTGGCCCTGCCCTCCTGGCAGTTTATGCTATTCTAGTTTGACCTGTGGTATATGTTACAGTTAAAAGCAGATCATGTGTCCCTTTTCTCATATAGACTACCCTTCCCTAACTAGTCTGAATTACTTATTTACTCATGAAGCATTTATTGTGTGTTAACAGTATTAGGATCAGGCACTGTGAATACAGTCTTAAATGAAATACAAATCCTGCATTTTATTTATTTGTTTATTCAGTTATTTATGTATTTATTTATGAGCTGGAGTCTCACTCTGTTACCTAGGCTGGAGTGCAGTGGCACCATCACGGTTACTGCAGCCTCAACCTGCTGGGCCCAGGCGATCCTTCAACCTCAGCCTTCCAACTAACTAGGACTACACGAGTGCACCACCACATCTGACTATTTTCTAAAAAATTTATTGTAGAGACGAGGTCTTGCTATGTTTCCCAGGATGATCTTGAATTCCTGGATTCAGGCAATCCTCTCACCTTAGCCTCCCAAAGTGCTGGGATTACAGGAGTATTATTTATTTTTAAATAATAGTACATGGCAGAAATTGATGGTATTTGGTAAAATATACAACAAGTAACATTTGGGAAAAACTTTATTACTCTTGATGGAATAGAGCAACACTTTGAAGAATAAAAGATGGTTAGAATTAGCCACCATGTAATCAGCAATAGGTATTAATAGGAAAAGTGCTTAAAGAAGCAACTCTGGAAGAAAGGTAACTGAGAAGAAATTTTTGTATTATATATTTTAAATGCTATCCACTTATCTTCATTAGACAATCAGCGATCTATTTTAGTGGTGTAGTGATAGCTTTGTATCATTATCACTCAACAAATACAAAATCCAAGGAACCGAACCTTGGATTTTGTATTATAAAATGAGTTAGAACATTATAAAGTAATTGTTATGCCAAAAACATTTCAGATAATTATTGCTTAAACATCCAGGGATCGCACCTGTGAAATTTTCCAAATCATGAGTGAAAAAATTCATTTTGTGTGCTCACATTTTTATCCTAAGAGAGAGGAAGGTCTATAGGTTGTGTAGCAATTGCCTGACCACTGTGGAAAATAGCCCAATTTTTCCTCAAACAATTTTTGAAGACAAATGTCACCATGGTGATTCAGGAACTTGAAATTTTTTAACAAAACATGACTACACAAATGCTATACGAAGTCAGCCAAATGATTGCTTTCTTTTTTTTTTTTTAAGTTGAGTCTCACTCTTTGTCGCCCAGGTTGGAGTGCTATGGCACGCTCACGGTCACCGCGGCTTCAATCTGCTGGGTTCAGGTGATCCTTCTGCCTCAGCCTCCCAATTAGCTGGAACTACAGATGCACACCACCACACCCAGCTAGTTTTTGTGATTTATTGTCCAGACGAAGTCTCATCAAGTTGTCCAGGCGGGTGTCGAACCCTCAGGTTCAGGCAATTCTCTCACTTTGGCCAAAGTGCTATGGTTATAGACTAAGCCATTGCACCAGGCCAAATGATTTCTTTATGCTAATTTGCAGCCAGCACTTTGCTCAGGCTTTAGAAAGTAGGATTTTAAGTAAAATTCCTTATTCTATCAGAGAAGGTCTGAGTGGATGCATTGCACTGCAAAAACACAGTATTTTAAAATGCAGTCTTCTATAAGAAGTAATTAAATTTTAAACGCCAAACAATCTAACATCAAATGTGATTTCCCCTGAGATAGACTTTATCTATGTTTCTTTCTTCATTCTTTGATCATCTGAAATATCTGAAATATCAGAATTCCTACAGTGGCAATCTTCATGAAACTACTTTCATTTAAAGTAGTTTCACAACTATTTCAGGAATGGCGTTTCTAACAATAACTTTATACAATGTTTACATCAGTCATATTTGGAAGCAGGCAAAAGAACTCTGATAAAATTGGTAAGGTTTTAGGGTACTATACAGGTGATATCGCAGCATGAACTGTATCCTTAAGGGAGAATAAATAAATAAAAATCAAACCTCTGTAAATGAAGGAGTTTCTGGATACTTACGGCTGCCATAGAGAAAACAGAAGTTTGTGCTTTCATCAGACATTTTTACAAAAAAAAAAAAGTCTTGATCTTGTTTTCAACTCATAGTCATTCTACATATATAAGGATAGATATATACATAGACTATTAAGTGGAGTGATGCAGAAAGCCATGAACGAGAAAAGGGCAGTAAGGTTTTAATAAAGGAAACAAAAAGTTATTTTCACCAGTATGAATTCACAATTACAGTACACCAATATTGACAGCATCCTTGTGTCTATTTTTGTACAGAAAATGGTATCTCTGTATATAACCTTGTAAGACTCCAATAACTAAAATGTAAAGCAAAACAACGATAAAGCCTCCAAACCAAAAACTTCAGCCTATTTGTTTATAGTTCGTTTTTAAAATTCTGAAAGACACTGTAAGTTCCAGATTTTCAGTAGTGCTACTCATATACAACCACCTGGTTAAGACCCAGTAAAAGAGTGGCTTCAAGGGTGCCCTGCAGCAGCAGAGTTGTGCGATTTGGATGTTTCATACTACAAGAAAAAAATGACCCAAGGGAGGCTACATGCTAGCATTCAGCTGCTGCATAGTGGGCCTGCCCTCCAGTTGCATGAGGCATCTCAGTGGATAAAAGCCTCCAAATTCTCACTCTCCAAACTGCTGGTGGCTTCTTTTTGTTTCCCTCAAGAAGAGGTTGGGTCAACCCATTCTTCTGCTCCACGTTTGACAATCATTATAAAGTGTGATTAGTGGGGAGTTTAGCATTGCATTGTTTTGTTTTTGACTGGTATCTTTAAAAAGTTGGGGCAGATAGAAATGCTAAAATCCATATTTTTAAAGAAGCTTCCTTGACCTATTTGTGATGCATTCTAAAGCCTGACATTTAGAAGCTACTGATACTGCCTTGCCTCTATTCCTGAAATGGAGAAGTTTGTATTATAAACTTAATTCAATGTCACAAACTTATACTGATATTTTATTACATATCAGCACTTTGCTCATCAATAGTGACGCAAAAGTGATGGAGGTGCTCTCTTCTGAAGAAGTTCACAAGCTCCTGGGGAAGAGAGACAGACATAGACGTACATGTAATAGTACATAGTGGGTAGTATAATAAGAAATGATCCCAAGCATTGCAAAAACATGGTGGAAAAGGAATTAGTCATATCTAGCAATTTGGGAAAGCTCTTACCAAAGAGGTGACATTGAAGGATGAACCTTTCTCCAGGTTAAAAACAAACAACTTTCAGCTTTTATCTTATGAGCATGGAGACTTACTTGGAGAATATAAAGTGTGATTTGCATAGAGTCTGGCAGTTATCTGGAAGATGGATTGGAGTGGAGAAGTACGGAGCACAGATTGTTTGGAAAGCTATGGAAATAGTACAGGAAGAGATGAGAGCCCGAACTATGGCAACAGGAAGACGGGATGAGGAGATTCCAGAGACAGTTCCAGGTAGAAGTAGCAGGACTTGGCAACAAGTCGACGTGGGGGACATGGGTCAGAAACAGGGCAACGATAACTTTAAATGATGCTCGCTGCATATCTTGCCATTGACTAAAGCAAGGATCAGGATCAGGATCAGGAAGAGGAAGAAAGGGCTCTGTAGTTGAAAAAAAATGAACTTAGTGGTAGACAACTCAGCGTGAGTCGCTTCCTCCAGCTGGAATCCATGGTTCTTGGGAATGTGGTTCTGGTGCTTATAAGAGACCAAAACATAAATGTGGTGATCATCAACACCTAGTGGACAGTTGGAGTTGTGAGATTCCTGGGAGAGAGAGCTAACACTGGTTGAGTGTTTCCTATGAAAGAGGCACTGCTTAAGTGTTTTACATATAATTGAATCATTTCAAACTTCCACCCCTGTCAGTTAGATACTATTATTTCCCCCCTGCTTGATAGGTGATAAAACAGAAGCACAGAAAGGTAAGTTACTTGCTCGAGGCTACTTAAGTACCAGGTGATAGGTCTAGGGGTCTAACCTAAGCGATCTTACTGCGGAGCCTTCATACATAATCACTTTAGTACATTACATCTCACAAAGATACCAAAAAAAAAAAGAGTGCGGGAGAGGCTCTTTTCAAGGGTATCTACATCCTGAACAGACTTTGAGCTGGAGGTTTGGAAGGATAAAGGAAAATTGCACTTTAGGATGAAGCCTTCACAGACTTCAAAAGCCTCTTGCCAATGGAACCCGATTCGCCCAGCTTTCCTCCCTGCATTGCTTGACCCACAGATGCTCTTACTTGCTCCAAGATCCTCATAAATAATGTTTCCAATTCCGTTTGCTTTCTTGAGGGGCTCATCTTGGAAATCTCCCAAGTCATTGGGAACTATACAAAGAATTAAAAGAATTATTAAGTATGGGAAAAATAGCAAAGGGAGCTACTAGCTGTGTGACTTTGGGCAAAACAAAGGGAGCTACTAGCTGTGTGACTTCTGTGCCTTTAAATCCTCATGTGATAGATAATTCATAAAGTCCCTTCCAGCTCTGATGCTCTACGTCACTGAGTCTAACAAATATAGGAAAGAAAAGGGCACAGTCTGTCTTTTCATTGGTGGTCACTTTTGGAAGCAAAGTGACTCTGTGGTCCAGAATAGCTGGTATAGGATAGCAATGATGGAAAAGAGGGAAAAACATGAGTCAGCGGGTGACTATTTGGATTTCCTTGAGTGTGGTATTTCTAGATACCTCCAAGATGCCTCAAGAAAGTGGATGCACATTCAAGGAGGATTGGAAGCCATTTATTCACCATCTGGATGCTCCAGATGATTAAAAAAAAAAAAAGGCTCATACAGGCCAAAGAGACGTTGAGTCAGAAAGCACCAGGGAGGAGTTTCCACACCTGCCCGTGATTCCTGGTTGCAGAAGGCTAACACTAGCTAGTTACCTGGACATAGAAAATGTCGTTCAGAAGACAGTGGAGCTTTTCATCCATCAGTGTGTGGATTTTATTATGAAGTGTGGCCTGTCGTTCTTTATAATGTTTACAAGTTCCCAGACCTAGTACACCGGCCATGAGCATCTGGATGGCATAAAAAGTGTGACGGAAGCTACTCTTCTTCAACTCAATGGCAGCAGTCCTGTTTATGAGAAAATCAAGAATCAGAAGAGAGTTTAAAAAGCATTTTTTGAAAATAAGAACAGTTGAAGGAAAGCTCTGACTTCTCAAATTCAGCTGTAATGGTAGAGATTGACTGAGCTCTCTGGAAACGGTTCTTTATTCCTGCTTCAGATGCACCACCTCGTTCTGTGATAGGCCCTGATTAATTTAACCTAGCTACTGCCCTCCTTTCTTTACCACCACAGTCCCGGCTCCAGCCCTCAGGCTCTTCTCTATACCACCACAGTTAGCGTGCCACTACCGCCACCTAAGGTCCCGACCCTCTGGCCACCTACGGTCATGACCCTCTGACTGGGAGCTCCCATTGCCTTAAGGGGTAAGCCTGGACTTCTGTATGTACCCGGACTCCTGTATGTGACACACAAGACTTTCCAAAGCCTCATTGTGTCACTTCTTGCCACACTCTGCCTAGCAACCTGCCCTCTACCCGAAGAAGCAGATGAGAGTTCTGCATACCCAGAGTCTGCTTATCCTGTCTCCTCAGCCTGGAATGCTCTCTCCTCTACAGCCTCTCACTTGCTTTAAGCCTCGGTTCAGGTGGAGCCTCCTAGAAACCTTTTCCTAGAAGCCTTCTCCACTGTCCCAAGGTTGGATTACGCAGTTCTCCTTTTCTGAGCTCTTGCATGTCCCTATCCTGGCCCTCACCACATTCTATTTTTATTGTGATCTCCTCCCCTTCTCCTGTGAGATCTCTTTGAGGTCAGGGATTAGACATTCATATTCAGGGCTTTGGCACATGCGTCACCCAAAATTCATATGCTAAAGTCTTAACCCCCCAGGACCCCAAAATATGACGTTATTTGAAAATAGGGCTGTTGCAGATATAATTTGTTAAGATGAGAGCATACTGGAGTGGGAGGGCCTAATCCAATATCACTGATGTCCTTATAAAAAGAAGAAATTTGTGGGGGAGGTGGCAAAAAAAAGAGAGAAGAAATTTGGACACAGACCATATACAGAGAGAATGCTATATGAAGATGAAAGCAGAGATCACGGTGATGTTTCTACAAGCGAAGAAACAGCAAAGACCTCCAGCCAACTGCCAGAAGCTAGGAGAGGGTCATGGAACAGATTCCTCTTCAGGGTCTAAGAGGGAACCAGCCCTGCTGATTCCTTGATCTGGGTCTCCAGAAGCATGAGATTGATTTCTTAATTTAAGCCACCTTATTTGTGGTACTCTGTTACAGCAGCCCTGGCTAATGAATACCGCACTTAATAGTTCCTGGAAAGAAATAGGAATTCAACAAGTGACTGAATACATGAATAAATTAATGTCTTCTGATTGTTGTGAAGTACCTGCTCAGCAATGGTAAGGATATTTTAAAACTGGCCTTTCTTAGGCCTGACTTTAACATGGGATAGAACTACAGCTAAAAGTAACATAAGGTTAAGCAATTTCTCCTATGCCCTTTCGGGGAGATGGTGAAGGGACAGGACACCATTGTCATTGTCTTGGTCATCACTACTGTAACTGAATACCATACTGTCTACTTCATGGGGGTGCTAGATGGATATCCCAAAGAAAGCCTCATGGCACTCTTTATATGAAAATAGATAAACAGTCTTGGCATGGTGGCTCACGCCTGTAATTCCATCACTTTGAATGGCAAGACAGGAAGATTGCTGGAACCCAGTTCTAGACAAGCCTGGGCAATATAGTGAGACTTTGTTTATGAAGAAGAAAAAGAAAGAAGGAAGGAAGGAAGGAAGAAAGGAAGAAAGGAAGGAAGGAAGGAAGGAAGGAAGGTAGGAAGGAAGGAAGGAAGGGAGGAAGGAACATGATAAGCAACATGAAGTAAGTATATTAGTTCTGTCTTCTAGAGAAAAATCCAGAGACCCATCTTTAGGGCAACACACACTCAGTGACAATTTGAGCACATCCTGGATATGGCCCCAAGCAGGGGATTGGAGCCTGGGGACAGATTCTGGGAGTGGCCAACTGGGATGTCCCATTCGCCTCAGGCTTCAGCCTGGGCATGCAGGTCATGCTGAGGCCATGAGGCCTGCTGACCACATCTTGTAGCTATGCATAGTGGATATTCTCGTGCACCCTTCCTCGAGGCAGTTGCCTGCCCCGTCTCCTCCACCCCCAGGCTGGTTCAGACCAGATCAACCCATAACATTTGGTTCCCTATAGTTCACCTTTAGTTCATTATAGTACTGAATATCTCACCCCTAGAGAGAATTCACAGACATTTTGTGTACATGCAACGTTTTTGTAAGTGCCTTCTCACACTGTACCTACACACTAGAAAACCTACCCTGTTCATACTCAACCCTGCACTCTGCCCCGTTTAAAATGCTATATAACCTATAGGCCTTTTACAATCAGGATCAGTTTTTACTCCTGTACCATGATGGTCCCTGTAAGTTCCCAGATAAGGCCCATGTCTCGTCCATTGTCTCCAGGTCATTTCTTCAGTCTTTTAGACACAGTGCCTTCCCTTTTGGGATCTTTGGGAGTCCAACATGACACCATCATTCTCTATTCACTTTTCAAGGGTTAAGTGATTCCCTGTCTCAGTTAGCTGGATACACTTATGTGTTCGTTCTGCAGACCGAATCTAGCCTTGAACTCAACATTTATGCTGTTTTCAAATCTGTCTGCTTATTGGGATTACATAGGAAACTTTAAAATGTCCAAGACCTGGCATTAAGTCAGGATTTACAGAGGTCAGCTCAGTTTCTCTTTTTTTTAGTTCAGTGTGTTTTTCATAAATTATCGATTTAACTCAAGAGTCATGGCACCCAACAATTGTGGACTGGATAATTTATATAAGGCAAGATATAGAAAAGAGAGGAGCATCAAAATCAGTCAGTAATCTCTGAGTTCACAAGGAATGGTAATTCCAAGACACTTACCTGCGTTTATCTCCTTGGGCCAGGCACTTAATTTTCATGAGTACCTGGCTTTTCCCGTAACCTGGTGATGCCTCATACACGAGGACTCGGCTTTGGTTATAAACAAAAAATTCCTTCATAGTACATATGAAGTATTCGATCTCCTTGTTACGTCCTGTTATTTTTATTTTTAAAAAAGGGAGCAAACTCAATCAGCATAAAACAGTTTAGAGATATAAAAAAAGGTACATAACGATACTTCTAAAAATATCCTTGGAATTTCCATGGGATTGTTCATGGACTTTCTTGAAGCCCTGTGCACTTTTACAATTTTTAAAATCTTCCTCTAGAACTTTTTAGTTAAAATATGGTTTTACAGTTTTATTTGATTACCATATGTTGTGAGGGGAAGCTTTCTTATAATGCTTATTATAACATCTGTTTAATTATGTGTAGAAAACTAAGATTTGCTTAAATTACCAACCAGGAATTAAACCAAGGCTATATAATCCTAAAGTTGTTTTCTTTTCCTTTTTCTTTTTTTTTCTACAGCACACTAGAAGTAATCTGTAGATTGTTGCATTAGGAAGTAAATTTATCAAAGTTAGGTTTTCTATATTGAACAATTATGGGTAAAATATTTTAAAATTTCTGATTCTGTGATAAAGACAATTTGCCCTCTATAAACAAAAATTATACTTATCTCAGGGCTACTGGAAGCATTATTAGTGATAAGAACATTCAGTTTGCCTTCACAGATCATGTATAGATTATTTTTATCATAAGAGCAACTTAAATTTTCAGTGAAAATAAATTGTAGTTTTTTTCTGATTATAAAATTAACATACACCCCCTGCAGAAAATATGGAAGACTTAGAAAAGAAAAAGAGCAAAATAAAAATTACCTTGAGTTACAACTCTGTTACTATGATTTTTCTTGTGTGTTTTTAAATACATATAACAGAATGCCCTGGCTGAAATCTGAAACTCAGCCACAGTCTTTGAAACCTGGGTGAACAGCAAAGAACTGGAAGAACTGTAATTTCAAAGCAGTGTGCAATTTCTGTTAAAGAACTGGAGACTCATTTAACACCAACTATTCTTTCTTTGCTGGGCAGATGACTGTGGCGGACCCATGTTGACATTCATTGATAGAAAAGATACATATTCAGGTAGTTTCTAATGTCTTTGCTGAAGGACTATAAATCCAAGTGTAGACATTTTATAAAAAGAATCTAAGTGCTTTGCTTGGTAATATACGTTTCTGGGCATGGTTTAATGAAAACTACTCTACAGACTATATTGCTTTTTTTGAGTGAAACATGCCTTTCTGAAAAGGCATTTGCACGTCAGCTTTGTGAGATGTTTTCTGTTCTTGTTTGACCTGAGGCCCACATAGGAACTTAGAAGATAAAGCTCTGAAGGCTGTGTAACTGACTCTTGTGGCTATCCATGCTCTATTCAGATAGAGCACATATAGGTAAAACTTTATGGGTTGCCTTTAACTGGATTCTAAAATGAGGTTGTCTGCTTAACTTGAAATGTGTATACCTTGTTTCTATTTAAACAAGGACCAATATCTGGGACTGCTATATGCATTTTTAACTCTAAAAAGCCACTATGTGTTCATTTAGTTTTGTTGTCAATTAGGTTTTTGCAATTTTGTTTACAGGAGCTCTTGTAAAACAAGGGCATTTCCCACACTGCCAGCCCACTGACAATCCATGTTTTGCTATAGCTTGAAGGAAAGATATGTGGGCCTCATCTTTATCTCATACTGATGGAATCAGGGCAAAAAGGCAACTAGATCAGACTGAGACATGTTACGCATTTTGTACCAATGTGATCTAATGGGGCTGTCATACTGGGGCTACAGTCTTATAGAAAGAAAGTCAGGATTCCATGTGCTGTCAATTATTATCACAACAAGCACATTCTGGATGGAAAGTAAGGCCTCAGAAGAGGCTGAGAGTGAGTATTCCTTTTCCTCTCTGACTTCAGCAGTTTGGAAATCTAGACTTGAAGTAATTGGCTTGAAGGCCCTGAAACCCACCTGAATGTAGAGAAAGGGAGGCATTTCTGCTGGCACAAGTGCATTTGCGGTTTGAAAACTTACCTTCTTTTAGGCTCTCCTGACACCAAGATTCTGCCCTAGTGCTCCTCCAAAGTGTAGGCAGAGCCTCCTCTTAATTACCCTGATGGTTATGATCAAGATTTACCTATGATGAGAATCTCAGTGATGTTCAAGTTTAACAGAAGGAAAGTACAAGTGCTTCTAGAAATGGCTGCCTTCAGAATCCACAGGTCACTTTTCATAGGTCTCTTCTTTCACAGGGTGTATTCCGGCTTCATTTTAGGCCTACTTCCCTGTCTAATCTTGAGTTAGCTTTCTTATGACAGGATTCTCCTTACCAAGAATCACAAAAACATTACATCTAAATGAATTGTAGACTTAAAAGTAAAAAGTAAACTTTTGGGGAAAAAAGCTAGAAAAATATCTTCATTACTTTTGAGTGAGGAAAGTATCTTAAACGGAATGCTGTACAGCAGCACTCACTATAAAAGATTGATAAATTCGATTGCATTAAAATTAAGAACTCGGTACATTAAATGCATTGTTGAGGGAGTAAAAAAAACAAGCACAGAGTTGGAAAAGTGAGAAACAGAACAAACAAATGGCAAAGGACCCAATTCCAAGATCTATAAATAATTCCAAAAGATTTACAATAAAAATACAACCCAGCTAGGCTCAGTGGCTCATGCTTATAATCCCAGCACTTTGGGAGGCTGAAGTAGGGAGATCTCTTGAGCCAGGAGTTTGAGACCAACCAGGGCAGCACAGCAATACCTCAGATCTCTACAAAAATCAAAAAGTTAAGCTGGCTCCCTAGCTCAGGTGTTAAGCTCATCTTGCAAAAAAATAAAAAAATTAGCCGGGCATAGTGGCATGCCTCTATAGTCCCAGCTACTTGGAAGGCTGAGAAGGAAGGATCGCCTGAGTCCAGGATGTTGAGGCTGTGGTAAACTGTGATTGTGCCACTGCATTCCAGCCTGGACAAGAGAGTAAGAATCTGACTCAAAAATAAAAAAATGCAACCCAACTGAAAAATAGGTGAAAGATTGCACAGATACCTTATAAAAGATGTCCAAATGGCCAAAAAACATGTAAAAATGGAGCCCCACCATATCAGGGCAATATAAATGGCAATCACAGCAAGATACTACTATATACTCAACAGAATTGTTAAAGTTATGAAGACATAAAATTAAATGTTGGCAGAGACGGAGATCAGCTGGAAATCTCTTAATATTGCTGTTCAGAATATAAGTAAATATAGCCATTTTGGAAAACCACTTGGCATCATCTACCAAAATCGCACCCTTTGTTCAATTTCACTCCTACATATACACTGAACAGAAATGTGTAACTGTGTTTCCCACAAGATTTGTGCAAGAATATTCATGGCAACATTATTCATAAGAACCAAAAACTGAAAGCAACTCAAATATTGCACAACAAAAAAATGGATAAGTTATTGTAGATTTATAAAATGGAACACTACATAATAATGACAGAGAATGAATTAAAGTTGCACCTAACAACATGAATGAATTTCATAACACACCATTGGGTAAGAGAAGGTGTATGTAAGGCATACAGAATTGTACAATGTATGATTCCACCACCTATATAAAATTTTGAAACAGGCATACATAATCTAGAGTGGGAGGAGTCTTTGGGAAAGGAAGTAGGAGAGGGCATGTGACTGTCGACTTTTCTATTTCTTGACCTGGATGATGATTATATTTTCACTTTGTTATAATTCATTAAACTACACACTTATCATTTGTGTACTTTTCTGCATTTTCTTTTTTGAGTCAGGGTCTTGTTCTATCACCCAGGCTGGAGTACAGTGGCATGATCACAGTTCACCTCAGCTCCAAACTCCTGGGCTCAGGAAATCCTCCCACCTCAGCCTCCCAAGTAGCTGGGATTACAGGTGCATGCCACCATGCCCAGTTAAGTTTTTGATTTTTTTTTTTTTTGTAGAGACAAGGTCTTACTATGTTGCCTAGGCTAGTCTTGAACACCTAGGTTTCAAGAAATCCTCCCACCTTGGCCTCCCAAAGTGCTTGGGATCACAGGCATGCATCATCATGCCCAGCTGTCATAGTTGAATAAAGAAGTTTAAGATCAAGGTTTACTACCTACCCAGCAAAGGGTAAAGCTCATTTCTTTTGCGGATAGAGTACGCCATACGAAGCATGCTGAAGAGAAGAAAAAAAGAACAGATGTTACATTCAAATCAGGGAAATACTGAGAGCAAGAGTGATTGGTTCTTTGTTCCCAGGAAACCTCTTTTCCAATTTCTAACAAGAGTCTACCCCTTGACTCAAGGGTTGCAGATCCCATGAGGAGAAGTTCTTACATGGTAGCAGAGAATCCAAACAACTCAGGCTGTGTCTGTTACCCTAGGCCCTGGCACATTGTTCAATAAATGCTTGTTGAATCCAGACCCCTTTCTGGGGCGACCTGGCACCTATAACCCAATAGACTCGAATGTGGTGCAGAGTTGCACATCCTGCAAAGATTCCACCAGTTGCTCAAACAATAACAGTTCACCTCTTTTGAGCACATACTATGTGTCTGGCACAGCTTCAGGTGTTTCACATGTATCACTTCCTTTAATCCTGGCAAAAACATTAAGTAGTACTACTATTATGTCCACTTTGCAAATGATGAAACTCAGGTACAAAGAATTTAATTGACCCAAGATCCCATGTCCTGTGGTGACATATCTAAGCTTAAACCAGGGCACGTATGCTTGCCCACTGCATAGGTCTATCTCTCAAAGGCCGTTTCCATCAGAATGGAGTCTTCCCCTCTCTGAACCTTACTACCACACCATTTGGTTATGCCTCTCCAATAGCACATATCAGTCTCCCATGTGACATAGAGCTAATTTTGTATATGTTGGCCTTCCCCACTAGATGGGTGAATTTTCAGGGCAGCAATCAGGCCCTGCTCATATCTGTATGTGTACTTCTTTTTTGTTGTTGTTTGTTTTTGAGTCAGCATCTCACTCTGTCATCCAGGCTGGAGGGCAGTGGCGCGATCATGGCTCACCACAGCCTCAACCTTCTGGGCTCAGGCAATCCTTTTGCATATCTGAGCTGGAACTACAGCATGCGCCACCAGGGCCAGCTATATATTTTTTATTTTTTGTGAAGACAAGGTCTCATCATGTTGCCTAGGCTGGTCTCGAACTTCTGGCCTCAAGAAATCCTTCCATCTCGGCCTACCAAAATGCTGAGATTATAGGCATGAACCACCGTGCCCAGCCTGTATGTGTATTTCTATACTCCTTTATCTGCAGAGATAGCATAGAACAATCATGAAGAGTGCAGGCTTTGGGATCAGCTAGTCCTGGGTTTGTGTGGTAGATCGGCTGCATCAATGGCCCCACGTCTTCACTTGTAAATGTATATGCCCATTGCTATGTAACTTGGCAGTGTCCTCGCACTCTGGGCTCAGCCTTGTGAGTGCTTTGGCCAATGGAATATTAGCAAATTCAAGTCATAGGCAGAGGCTTGAAAAATGCTTTTGCATTGGGTCTGCTCTCTCTTGCACCTCTGATACTGCCATGACAACATGCCTGATGGAAGATGAGACACGGAGAGCCAAGCTGCCCCAGTTATCTCAACTGGGGCCATCCCAGATCAGCCAACAATCTGTTGGACACAGACATGTGAATCAGCCAAGACAAGATCAGCCAAATCCAGCCAATATTCGCCGAACCCTACATATTCAGAAGAAAAATAAATGCTTATTTTTGCATACCACTGAGGGTTTATGGTTGCCTGTAATGCTATATTATCATGCCTGTTTGAATCTCGTTCCACTGCTTACTAGAATTATAGCCATGGACAAGTCATTTAACATCTCTGAGTTTCAGTTTTTAATTTATAAAATGGAGATAATAATAGTTTCTACTTCATATGGTCAATATGACTTTATTGCACTATTTATTTGTTTATTTATATATTTACTGCATTTTATTGAAGGCCTATGTATGCCAAGCACATTGCTAAGCCCCAGGAATACAAGGGTCAATAATAAAGACAACTTGAATGAACAGAACCAGACACCCCGGTTCTATTATTTGACCCTTGAATGCTGAGAAATTCTAGCTTGCTAATATAAAGAGGAACAGTTTTCTGTTTTCCACCCTATTCGTGTATTCATTTATTCATCATTATTGAGGACCTACTATGAACCAAGCACTTGAATAGAAGAATGAACAAGAAATAACTAGTATCATCAAAGATCACACGGCGTAATAAGTGAAAAGCATATCAAGTCACTAACCAGGATATAGTGTGACGAATGCTCTAACAAAGGCATTGTTGTAGAGGAAAAAGCTTCACTGTCCAGTTGTGATGGGGGATTCATAGAGAAATGTCTATGAAACGTGTGACCTGGGTTTCGCAAAGACCTGTGGTCTTCCCAGTAGAACAGGGCGGGTTGTGTGGTGGTGAGGACAACCTACATTAACACCCTGAGGAGGGGGTGCAAGAGGTGACGGGGTTGGAAAGCTAGGTGGTTTTACCTTGTATTCGTTGCAAGGAATTTGAACATTCTCATGAAAATGACTGGACGTCATTGAAGGATTTTTAAGCTTCGAAGTGATACTCACACATCTAAGCTGGACTTTGGGGGAATGTATTTCACTAAAGAGCTAGAAGAGAAATAATGTCTTATACTCTTTTAACAGTGTCTGTGCATAAAGTTGGCATAATCAGTAAATATTTAATGATTGGTGATTGGGTCCACCTTGGTGCAAATAGATACTCAAAAGGGTGGATTCTTTGTTCTGATTGTATAATCTTTGAAGAATCACCCTCAGAATCTCAGGCCTGAGGAAAGAATGGGATCTTCTGCCATGCTACAGTATTAGTAAATTGGAGGAAAGATGAAGGATCTTGAAGCTTGGTTTTTAGAAAGAATAGATTTCAATGTAGTGAGCTGGCTTCGATCTCAAATGCATGACAGATTGCTTTGCTATCATAATTCTCCGACTACTTTATTGAAGAACACAGCAAAATCAGTGCCCTCACTCACACTTTCTCATGGAGGTCCAAACACTGATAGACTGGTCCAGAATCTGCAACACCTTTCATGAATTTCTTTGGAAGCTCTTTAAAAAAGTAGGCTGGTAGTTTGCTGTCATGGTAAGTGACGGAGTCACAGGTCACAATTCCAGGGTAGCACATCATCATCCTGGCAGCTATGTTGACTTTTTGACCAATGACTATAACAAGAAGGAGAAAGTCAAAAATCAGAGGAATAACAGCAACTGAACTAAATATAAGCTGAGACATACTGTCCCCAAATAGCCTTTTATTCTTTGCTCCATTTGCCTCTGATGAATGACATATGAGTCTAGACTTTAACAACCCATATTCAGCCAGTAGCTATTAAAAAAAATATTCAGGGAGAATCTGCACAGAGGTGGAAGGGACTCAGATGTGGAGAGGGCTCTGTAAGTGGGGTGGCCACAGCATGGAGGGCTCTCAGGTAAGGTGTTGCTGGTATTTTGGGGTGGACAAGCATGAGCTTGGCCTGGGGTTCTTAGCCTCAAATGAAGCACAGGATTGTATCTGCATGCTCCTGTGAAGGAACGAACCTTCATTTGGTGATTTCTTAAGGGTTAGTAAATGAGGTTGGAAGGGTGTGTGTGGAGGATTGATTTAGGGGAAATTTTAAGGGGCAATATATGGCAGCACACAGACTCTTAAGCCAGACTGTGCAGGTTTAAACGCCAGCTTTACCTCTAACTACTATGTGCAAATTACTTGGACAAATTAAATCTTCATGCCTCAGTTTCTTAAGCTATAAAATGGAAAAGATACTAGTACCCATCTCAGAGGGTGGATTATGAAGACTAATGGTTCATACATGTTTATCATGTTGAACGGCACCTGGCTGCTTGCAAGTCCTCAATTAATACTACTACGAATGAGGTAGTAAATGTTTCGCTTTAACATAAATGTGAGTACTTCTGATCAAGATATTATTGTTTTAACTGATAATTATGGAGAAATTTGATCATATAATAAAACATAATATCATGAATTTCCCTATACACATCAACCCATCCCAACAAGCTGCTCACGGATGGTCAATCCTACCCACTCCTTACCTCCACCTGCTCCCCACCCTGTATCCTTTTTTCGGTTTGATTTGGTTTGGTTTTTTGAGTCAGGGTCTCCTCTGTCGCCCAGGAGTGGGGTGGCACATTCACAGATCATCTCAACCTTGAAATCCCGGGCTCAGGTGATTCTTCCGCCTTAGCCTCCCAAGCAGCTGGGACTACAGGAACATGCCACCAGGTCTCGCTAATTTTTAAATTTTTAAAATTTTTTATAGAGACAAAGTCTTGCAATGTTGTCCAAGCTGGCCTCAAATTCCTGGGTTCAAGCAATCTTCCTGCCTTGGTCTCCCAAAGTTCTGGGATTACAGGGATAAGCCTCTGTGCCCAGCCTACTTTTGGAGAAAATCTCAGGTATTGTATCACTTCAGTCATAACTATTTCAGTACTTTACATGTATTCAGTATTTTAGGTGTATTATTGCTAAAAATCTCAAACTCTATTAGGATTGAAGAGGGAAGTAATAGAAGGAGACATGAACCGGTTGTGGTGGCTCACACCTGTAATCCCAGTATTTTGGGAGGCAGAGATGAGATGATTGCCTGAGTCCATGGGTTTGAGACCAGCCTGGGCAACTTGGCGAGACCTCGTCTTGATAATAAAGTGGTGGTGCATGCCTGTAGATCCAGCTACTTGGAAGGCTGAGGAGGAAGGATCGCCTAAGCCCAGCGGGTCGAGGTTGCTGTGGCCCTGAGGCCTTGAGTGTGCCACTGCACTCCAGCCTGGGTGACAGAGTGAGACTCTGACTCAAACAAACAAAAAAAAAAGAGACATGAAATCTGGAGAAAACATCTGTGTACAACCACTCTCTTTTGAGAGTACCGTTATTTTCCAGTAAGTCAATATTCGTAATTGTTAAGAAGCAGTCCTAACCAATTCCAGAAATTTAGAGGAGCAACTGTTTAATGTTAACAGGAAGTCACTGGGCATGATGGCTCATGCCTATAATTCCAGCACTTTGGGAGGCCAAGGTGGAAGATCACTTGAGGCCAGGAGTTCAAGATCAGCCTGGGCAACATAGTAAGACCCTCATTTCTACAAAAATTAGCCAGGCATGGTGGTATGACCTGTAGTCCCAGCTACTCAGGAGGCTGAGGAAGGAGGATTGCTCCAAGCTCAAGAGTTCGAGGCTGCAGTGAGCTATGGTCATGCCACTGTAATCTATCCTGGGAAATAGAGTGAGGCCCTGCCTCTAAAACAAACATTAAAAATAATGTTAACAGGAAATTACAAAAGCCCCTCATTTTATGAGCACTTAGCCTCCTGCTGCTCCCCTCCCATGGTTACATATTTCTTATACTCATGCACAGCACCAGAAATGCACACGTTGCAAGCATTGCACTGTCGGTGGACAAAGCTATATGGCTTGGTTTCATCTGGAAGACAACAGACTTTCTGCGGACAGGGCCGTGTCTCACTTATTTTGGCGTCTCCTCGCCTGAAGCCCAGTTGTCAGGCCCTGTGTTTGCTGAAAGAAAAGTGGAGCAGAGCCGGCTCGGCACACCTGTGTATTCGTGTCTTACGGTGTGTCCCACGATCCCACAGAAGACGGTCCCTCTGGTCACGCCAATGGACACAGTGCTAGTGCCAGGAGAAGAGAATTGTGGGGAAAGAGAGAAAGACAATGAGCGTGGAGAGGTGGAGAGGGCGGGGACATGGAGAATGGGGAGGGTGGGAAGGGATTTTCCAGATGTAGTTCTCTACCCACTGTAATTAGCTTCAGTCAGATGCTGTGCCTGGCCTGTAGCTGTGAAGGAGGGACAGTTTGAGGCCCAAAATTAAGTTCTTCATCCCACTCCTCCTTTCCTGTTCCCTGTGCACCTTCCTCTCTTCTCCTTCCAAAGGGACAGGACCCCTGGGTAGGGTTAGGGGCAATACTCACTGGATTTTGTGGACCTGAGAGCAGAAGTCAAAGATATCCACAGCACTTTCCAGAGCATGAGCAACCTCATCAGGTGCCTTTTCTCCGGGGAAACCAAAGACACATAGGAAGGAGCAGCCCTGTGAGGGAAAGAGCCAGCAAGCACAGTTGGTGGATGGTGAGCTTCCCACCGGACCAGCCAAGAGGCCCGAAGGAGGGGAGGGTGGGCAGCAGTCTTCACTTTCTGAATCAGGTTTCATCATGACTTCTCTCACACCTACTTGATTTTTAGTAAACTACAATCACTTCGAGTGCATCCTCAAGTGTAGAGCTTGAGCGCTTGAGAAGGGTTTGCTTTTGCTCCAGAGTTCATGAACAGTGCTAAGCTGTGTGTGTACACTCTTCTGTCTGCTCTGTCCTGGGACCCGGGTCTCATGTTTCAAGTTTAAGTCTATGGAGCAGCAGCGCAGAGCAGGGGGTGAGGCCTCAGTTTTGGAATCAGAACGTCTGTGTTCACAGCCACTTCCTGACTTTGGATGCCTGGGTAAGTCAATTACACAAAGTCTGAATATGGATATAATATAGACCTGCTGGGGTGTTTTTGGCTACTAAAACAATTAATGTTATAGATTTTGTGAACTATAAAGACTTTGTGAACTAGAAAGTACTTTTCAGATGTTGTCATTATTCTTGGGGATAAAGGCTTAGGCTGGAAATAGGTTTTCTTGGCATAAAGCTAACTGTCCCAAGCAAAGATGAAACTCTAAAGCTTGGCGTTCGTAGTATCAGTCACTTACAAATGACCTCAGTCAGATGCTGTTCTCTGTTAGAAAAGGGCACGGTGAATAAAGGCTGATGGGTTAAAAATTTGAGTTTTTAATGTATTCTATTTTGAGGAAGTGCAAATGAACACTAAAATATCCCAATTTCTTCAACTCTCTGCAAAGAATTTGGTTGTGTCAGATCCTAAACGGGGCTGCACTCTGTCTTGACGTGAGGGGAAAGCCCTGATTCCAGATATGCAACCCCCTTGGGAACACCACAGGATCTGCTTTGCCTTTAAATGTACATGGTGGCTTGGCAAGGTGAGCATTTGGCTTCCTCTGGCAGCTTGCATTCACTAGGTGCTGACTTATGAGACAGGTGTCCCAGTAAGTGCTTCACACGTGTTACATTGTTTACAACTTCCCACAATCACTTGAGGCAAACACTATCCCCATTCAAAGAGGAATAATCCAGGGCTAAGAAGTTCGATGACTGACTAAGGTCACACAACTAGAAATTGTTGGAACCATGTCTGTAAGACACTGAAGACTGTTTTTGTAGAATCGATGCTCTTTTCTTATGATACTCATGAACAAATATTGAAGAAAGTACTGGAGGGCACCAGGCTGGAAGTCATCCTGCTCAGAATTCTCAGAAAATGGAGTGAGTGTTTCTCATCCAGAGGCAGGGCTTCCTGCCTATCCCTGTGGCAGTGTGTGAGTTGCCCATCTCTGCCACCCGACTCTAGCTTTTGGCCTTCTCTGAAACGCTGACAAATGCCTAGTGAGTGAGTGGATGTGGGGCAGTAATTAAGTGCTCTGCTCTAACACACAGAAACACCTAACATGGGGAATCAATTCTCAGGAACACTTCTGTGGGCATTTATCACGTCATTTTTCTTTGAACTGATTAGGAACAGAGTAAAAACACTTGGGAGCTGGAAGTAAGCCCCCTCCCTGCCAAGGATGAAAATAAAAGGGAGGTATTGGCTGGTGGATGGGACTTAATGAAAGTATGTTTCTGGGGTGTGAGGGTTACTAACTCCTGATGTAAAATCCCTGGGAAATATGTCATTCGCTGGGCTGGAGAACATGTGTAGAGAGTGGTAGTCCAGCATAGTGAGCTCAGACTGAGAGGGGAGACTACTTGGGTTTGGATCCCAGTCCTCTACTTACTAGCTGAATGATCATGAGCAAAACTTAATCTCACCTTTTTTCAGTGTCCTCATCTCTACCTCAGAGTCCTCATCTGTAAAATGAGGATAATCAGAGCCCCTTAGATAATCAGAGCCTCCTCCCCTTAGGTGAGTCATGAAGACGAAATGAGTCAACATTTGTAAAGTGTTGAGAACAATGCCTGGCACAGAATAGGTGACATGCCCACCACATAAACTACTATAAGTATAAAGAAAGATGGATACTTCTAGGTTCAAGTTCTAGTATCTATTCCTTCCATCTCACCAACGTGCTTGGTCATGGATGTTAACCTCAAGCTATTGGTTATCTTCACATTTACCTTGTCAAACATGAAGACTTTATTGATTTGACCGTGGAAGACTTTCAGGACAGAATTAATGTGCACACAGGTGTCATGAATGACTGAGCCTATGACCTCTGTTTTGTTTTGCTCTTTAAACATCAGGTTCACAAACACAATCGTCACTGGGCGAAGCTCAGACAAATATCCCCGGAGATGCTTGTCGCCAATCTGCAAGATAAAGATCAGCTTTCTGTGGATGAGTCCTTGGCAATGAGTCCCTCCTTCCACCACCCCCACCCTATACCCAAAATCACTACTGGGAAGAAGGTAAACTTTTGAGATTCTCTGGGGAAGCTGGAGTTAAGAGAATGTGCGAGGTACAACATGGCAGAGCCAGTACACCCAAAGTCAAGCAGATGGAAACGAAATCAAAATTCATCTCTTCCAATGGGGACTTAACACACTTACTGATTTTGGGCCACAACCACGCCATTATCCCAACTGCTAGCGCCCTCATGCCAATATGAGCTATCACAGTAAGAGAAATAACTGCTGTTCCTTTTGGCTTTCTTGTTTTTACAGTTTAGGGATATGAATAGCATGCTATATAACTCAACCTTACATTTTCATAGACTGGTACCATCTGGAATATTTTCACATTCTATCCTACTCTGTCTTCAAATAAAATAAAATCAGCATTATTAGCCCCATTTTACCAATTAGGTAACCAAGGCATGGAGAAGTAACACAACTTTCCCAAGGACACATGAGGAGACAAAAGCAAATGAGAACCCAGATCTCCAGACTCTTAGTCCAATGTTCCACCCACCACATCATTCTACTCTCTGGGGTGCTGTATTTCAGTTAGCTCCCCTCTTCTCTCCAAATTTACCCACAACAGGCACAGGGGAAAGTAAGGAGAATGCCCCAAATTATCCCTGCTAATCATCCTCCCTGAATTTGGTAAAATTAAGTACACAGCAAACCTATGAGGAAAGACCATTACACTTTCTCCCCCAAATAGCACAGAAGTATCAGACTGACTATGTGAAACACATCTTCTAGATGAAAGAAGGACCTGGTGTAGAAAATAATGCAGCCATACTTCCTAACTGCCCCGGATGGTCCTGGATTAATGGAATTCTATTCTTTATAAAAGCTCAATTAATAATTTCTAACTAACTAGTGCAATGCAGGTTTTAAATTTTTTTTCAAATAAATTCACACATAGTTTAAACATTATCCTGTCAGACCAGGTGTTCTGAGCTTTGGCTTAGAAAAGAGGACCACAGTATCTTTAAAGACCTCTGTTGTTTAGGCGCAAGGGCCAGCCTTGGGGAAGTTGTGGAAGGTTGTCTTTGCCTCCTTTCTGCCCTTTTGCTGTGCCTTTTCACCAAGTATTCATTATTCCCACCCACAATTTCCCCAGTGACTTCCAGGGTCCATCTTCTATCCCAGTGCTGTAGCCCTTGCTCCCAGCTCATGGAAACTAAAGAAGCATCATGGGTAATATCTCTCAGAGGCAGGGAGGGGAGCAGGGGATGACTTTCACAAGCCTCAAAAACCACGAAGAGTCAAACAGTTGCAGGCACTAGAAGGAATGCTTTTACACCGGGCTGGAGGTGAAAGGATGCACTTGGACACCCCTTCAATCCACACTAGAAGGCAGCTGTCCACTGGTCAGGCTTGTTTTACAAAGATTTCCTCCAGGACGTACTGCATGTTGATGAGATTTAGGATCCGAGCAGGCATATATTAGAGAGGTGCATAGCCTGATCACAAATTGTAGGATTCAGACCGACCAGGGTTCAAACCCTTGCTATACCTTTTACTTTACAACTTTGGGAAAGCTTCTAGTATTCTTCTGGGTCCCAGTTTTCTTATATATAAGATGGAGATTAAAAATATCTCCCAAAAGACTGTGAAAAGTAAATACACAAAACAGCAGAGTGACTGGCATATGGTGAGTGCTAAGAAATAGGCATAATTCACATGGATTAGTATATTTGAGAGAACCCAGACCTAAAAGAATAAAAAGAGAAAACTCTGGGGGCGGGGGTGGCAGTAGCTCAGAGTATTCTAATTACCTGTATTGTTAAATCTAAAAAATGTAAGCTATAAGTGACTTAGGGAAATAGTGTACCAACATTCATCCACAGATAGCTTTCTGCCATGTGGCATGTAGAAAGGGTGACCATATGTTCTTATATGCTTGCAACAGTTCTTGCTTGCCCAGTTATATAAGGCCACACAGACCTAGTTTATGCCTGTTACCACAGTATAATTATGAATAATGCCCTCTTTAACTCTTAAAATTATCCTGATTTGAACAACATATTTTATAGTCACCTGAATATAGAGAATGTATTTTTATTTCAATGGAATATTTTTCTAGCTTCTTGGGTTTTTTAAAAAATCTTTCCAGCTGTTCAAGATCCCTGACATACCAAAAGTCAACAAATTCAGTTATGGAAATACCTGCTTCAAAATGTTTTCCATCACATACTTTTGTAGGGACAATTCCAGTTCAGGAGTAGACTTCAGTGTGCACGCAAGCCTCAGGAGGTCTACAAGGATAGAAGTGGAGGGTAGGCTCAGAAAAGGAGACTTGGCTCTGCAGTGTTAGAGAGAGGGGGCTCCCCATACCCATTCCCTTGGGCAGTAGTCCTGTTCTCACAGTTCAGCTGGAGACTCTAGGATGCCTAGTGGACAAAAAGGCCAAGGGAAATTCAAAGAGGAGCTCTTAGAGGTTGTGGGCTTCCCAAAATTCAGTTGCATGTAGCTCAAAACCCTGTCCTCATTGTTATCATGCTTTGGGAGGTTTTCACCTCTGGTCTTAACCTAAAACTGCTGCCACAAGAGATGGGAGTGAACAAGTGACGGTTGACAATAGAGCAGCATGGTGACAGAATGAGAGGATGATAGAGTTGGAAGAGTAGCAATGGTAAGAGTCAGAAGACTGGCCTCTGATCCCAAACTTGACACCAACTAATTGTGTGACCTTGGACAAGTCACTTCATTGCCCTGGTTGCCTCCTATTTCCTCACCTGGGAAAAAGCATTTGGGTTTCATTATCTCTGTGGTTCCCTTTACTTTAATGGTTGATAGTTGCATGCTCTAGAATAGACTGGCAAGAGATGAAAGGAATAAGCTTGAAGAAATAAAAAAAATAAGGGAGAGAGAAATGATGAGAGGTTTTCAGCAGGGAAGAAAATAATAATGTGGGAAAATGAAATAAAAAATAAAAAATGAAGTCTGGAAGGGATATAAATACGAAGCAAATTTAATTTTGAAAGCACTTATTGCTCACTTAGTGTATTCAAAACACCACGCTAAGCACTGTATGAATATAAACAGGTAATTAGGAAACGTGGACTTTTCCTTTGAGGCACTTACTGTCTCACTGGACATTCAAATGTAATATGTGTGGAAAAGTTAAATAGAAAAGCAAAAGTAGCTAGACCAAAATGAGCTAATAGTTATAAGGTCCAGATCCTCAGAGGAAGCAGTGCTCAATATGAGCTGGTTTAATTAGAAAAGACCACAGCAGTCAGGATGGCTGTCATCAATAACAACAGATGCTGGAGAGGATGCAGCAAAAAGGGAACACTTTTACACTGTTGGTGGGAGTGTAAACTAGTACAGCCTCTGTGGGAAACAGTGTGGCGATTCCTAAAAGATCTAAAAATCGACCTTCCATACATCCCCCCAATCCCCCTACTGGAAATATACCCAGCGGAACTCAAATAACTCCACGGAAAAGATACCCCCACACATATGTTTATCACAGCATTGTTCACAGTAGCAAGAATGTGGAACCAACTGTGCTGCCCCTCAAAAGAGGACTGGATTAAAAAAATGTGGTACATATACACGATGGAATATTATGTAGCCATAAAGAAGAACAAAATCATGAACTTCATAGCAACCTGGATGGACTTAGAGTCTATAATATTGAGTGATCTTTCACAGAAACAAAGAACTGAGTATCACATGTTCTCATTCATAAGCGGACCTTGAACAATTATTGTAATATTATAAGAAAAGGATTGGCAGTAGCAGGAAACTGCTGGAAGGGGGGCAGGGAAGCAGGGTTGGCTGTAGTGGGAGTCTGCCTGGGGAAGGGGGGGCATGCCTTATCAACAGGGGTATCTGCATAATGAACATTTGTATACCTACTCTGACCTAACCCTGAATTGTACCTCACATCTTTAAAATAAAAAAATTAAAAGTTACAAAACAAACAAACAAACAAAAAACTTCATAGGAGAAGTAGGGATTTAACTGGATCTTGAATGACTTATAGCATTTTACTAGAAGGATTGAGGTGGGCATGCCTACCAGAGCAAGTCAAGAATGAACATGGCATGTTAAAGGACTGTGAAGACTCCAGCCTGACTGGTTTCCTTTGTGAGTACTAAGGTGAAGAAGAAATGACAGTGAATGGCAATGGAGGAGGCAAGGAGTTCAGGAGAAGGGAGCAGTTGTAAAGGCCTGGACCATTATAATGGCAATGATTATGAAGAGATATGTGCCTGTTAGATAGTGAACAATTTAGCTCTCTTTGTTCCAGGTTCCTGAGAGTTCAACTTTAAATCTTCAGAATTTCCTGAGGAATAGGAGTCTATGTTACTCACGGTGGACTGTTTGAACCACACCTGAGTTTACAGCTTGGTGGCTGGCCACAAAGATCAATCATGTGACAACAGGGTTGAGACTTTGAGACGTGTGATATTAACCTAATCTCTCCACATCTGAGGAGGGACTAGTGGCTGGAGATTGAGTTCAATCAATCGTGTCTAGTTAATGAAACCCCAATAAAAACTCTGAACACCTGAAGCTCAGGTGAGCTTCTCTGAATGGTAATCATACTCGATGCCAGGCAGGTGATGCTTCCTGAGGACAAGGAAGCTTTCTGTTTGGGACCTTCCCAAACCCCACCCTATCAGTCTTTTTATTTGGCTGATCCTGATAGGTATCTTTTATAATAAAACAATAATCATAAGTGTAACACTTGGCTGAGTTCTGGGAGTCATTTTAGTGAATTACTGAGCCTGAGCGTATTAAAGAAATACCCAAATTTGTAGGCTGTTGGTCAGAAGTGCAAGTAACCTGGGAATCCCAAAACTTGCAGCCAGTGTCTGAAGTGAGGGAAGTTTGCACAGGACTCAGCCTATGAAATCTTGCACTGACTCTAGGTAGTTAGCATCAGAATTGCATTGCCTTGTAGTGATCAAAATAGGCTGAAGAAACCTTTTATAGATGGTACCATTAGTACCTGGGAGATGGGGTGAGTAAAGCTCAAGGAGAGCTTTGGGCTTCCTCCTCCATCTCTGGAACATCTGCAGTTCTTGGCCTTTCCTAATCAACATTCCTACAGTGCCCCCACAACCACGTCCCATGACCTACTGCAGGTTTTTAAAAGTATAATCTACTATTAGTAATATTCAAAATATTCAAGAATTGTACATGCATGATGAGGAAGAGATGTTCCTCTTCAAAGATTTTCTGAGGTGTCTGGTTTGGATGACGTTTTAGGGAGGGATAGGTAGCTAAAGTTTAGATGTGTGAATGTTGGGTACCTATCTGATATTCAGAGAAGATGGCCTATAGACAGTTTTTTCCCCTCTGAATTCAGGACAAAAATCTGTCCTGCAGTTCAGGACAAAAGACTGGGCTAAATTCTGGCAGTTAAGACCAGGACTTGGGTGAGGCAAGCGACTTGCAGTCCCCGAAGATTGGGTGCTTCCTTATTACATGCTGTGTGTTGCACTTCTCACTTGCTCACACTAGTCATATGGCAATTAAGCATGAATAAACGTTTCACCAAGACATGAGAAGAGACGACTACAAGGTCAAGGACAGATCCCTGAAGTCACCAACATTTAAGAAATAGGAAGGGGCCAGGTGCGGTGGTTCAGCCTGTAATCCCAGCACTTTTGGAGGCTGAGGCAAGAGGAATGTCTGAGCCTGGGGGTTCGAGACCAGTCTGGGCAATTTGTTGAGACCTCGTCTCTACAATAAATCACAAAAACTAGCCGGATGTGGTGGCATGGGTCTATAGTTCCAGCTACTTGGAAGGCTGAGGCAGAGGATCACCTAATCCTAGCAGGTCAAGGCTGCAGTGGCCATGAGTGTGCCACTGTACTCCAACCTGGGGCGACAGAGTGAGACTCTGAATCAAAAAAAAAAGTAATTAAACTTCTACTTACAGTCAAGATGGAATAAAATGGACTAGATATACCACCATGACTATGACAACTAAAAAACATCCAAATATGCAGTCTTTTTAAGTGCACAAAAGACATTTGCCAATATAGATGATTTTCTGAGCCATAAAACAAACATTAATGTATTTAAGACTACAGTCTGGGTGACAAGATTGAGACTCCAAGTCCAACTCCAAAAAAAAAAAAAAAAAAAAAAGAACTGGTAAGGAAGCTAAGCAAAGGGCACTGAGAATAGGTGAATTGAGGGTATAAAAGTAAAACCAGAAAGAAGACTCTTGGACCCAAGGAAAAAGAAGTAGTGTCCAGGAAAAGCAAGTAAGCTAAGGCCAACCACCTAGGGTGGAACTGAGAAGAGGTCACTTGGTTAGGCAGGTTAATGGTCACTAGTGGCCTCAACATAAACAATCTCAATAGACAGGAGGGGACGAAAGTAGAAACTAGATGTCAGGGGGAAGACTGGCGGGTGAGCAGACCCCGAGGGGCTTGTAAGCAGTACTTATTGGGTGAACAAGCAAATGAAGGGATACAAGAACAGGTACAAATAAATGTAGAAGATTACTCTTCTGATAAGTGTACTGGTAAAATTGAGGAGGGGAAAATAGGATTCAAAGAAGCTTTATTTTTTTCTTTCATCCTGGGGGAGACTTGTGGATGCTTGGAAGATGAAGGAAGGAAGTCAGTGCCTCGGGAGGGGTGATGGGCACGAGAAGGGCTGCGCTTAGAACCGCTGTTCTGGGAAATGGGAATTGAGACCCCTCTGTGTGCTGGTAAGAACTGGGGGCTGTGCTGAGGGGTCCAGCCACTGGTGGTGGGGCTGTTGGCATTGGTATAAGGCCCTACTGACCACCGTAGAGGCAAAGGCTCTTGTTCTTGGAGGGTACTTACTTTTGTGGTCACCAGAAGGATAATGTTCCATGAAGGCCATACATCTTGTGAAAAATTTATCAAACTTAAATGAAGACGGTAGTTTTAAGAAGCTAAGCTAAAAAAAAAAATAAAATAGTGAGAAGTTTTCAGTTATTCTAAGGGTTATTTAGTCCTTGGAGTATAATTTTTCAGCAAAAAGGCAGGGAGTATGCTTTTGAATGTCTACAAAATGGTAACGGGATTGGAATAATTAAATACTAAAGGCCTTCAATTTTTAAAATTGAAATTTTACATTGGAAATTTAAAAAGTCTTTCCAGTTACAATATTCACTCAGATCTCAATGTTGAGCATAGGTACATAGAGGGCCATTCCAGGGGGCACATTTATACTTTTCCACCCTCAGAACTTTTCCTGACTTTTTTCCTTCATAAAATTTTAATTAAACTAAAGTCACATTAAACTGTCTACAATTTCTTTCTTATAAAGATTAAAGGACAAAGGATGCTGATGCCCCAAAAGGTATTAGGAATATCACCAGTAATAAGACATAGCAAAGTGATGAACCCCATTGTATGATACACTGAGAATGGCATACCTTCGTTTTTGTGGTATTCTTGCCAAAAAAATGCATAAACTTAGTCCAATAATGAAAAAAATCAGACAAAATTAAGTGGGGAGAATTCCACAAAATAACTGATCAACACTCCTCTCAAGTGTAAAGGCATAACAAACAAGGAAAGACTTACAGACTGCAGAAGACTAAGTAAAAAATAACCGCAGAATGCAACAAGAGATCATACACAGAATCCTGGGACATTCCACTAAGGACATTCATGGGAAAACTAGAGAAATTCAAATAAGATCTTTAATTAGTGAATAGTATTGGCCCAATGTTAATTTACTGGCTTTGACCATTGTTCTCTGGTTATGTAAGATGTTAACATTAGGGGAAGCTGAGTGATAGATGTATGGAAACTATATTATTTGACAACTTTTCTGTCAGTCTGAAATGAATTCAAAATTAAGACAACTGCTAAAGGTAGAATGATTGAAGAAGATGGGAAAGGGCTATTTGTTATGAGCCAGCTAGGTCATAGGCCTGGATATGTCTTGCTGGAAGATTGCGAGTGGTGGGGAGGGAGAAGACTGATGCATTTGTGTAGGAGTGCTACCCATCTTTGCTGGCATCTCCATGGCTCCTCCTTCTTTTCCTCCTTTCTGCCATGCAGTCCTATTCCTCTGGCTCATTTAGCAGCACAGCTCTCCTTCTTGTTCATACCCTCAAAGCACAGTCATAGCCCAGGGACAGTTCTGCATATAGTCAAGCTTCAGCTTAACCTGAGTGTTTTCTGCGAGGCAGAGCCATGGGAGAAGTCTCTCTTGCCTCACTAAACTTTTCTGCATGTGTTCACCTCCATTCCTTACCCTCAGTAATCCCTCGCCCTGGGTTAGGAGGGTGTTGGAGAGAGAAAGTGAGGGCCAATGGCAGCACTCAAAGCCGCTCTCCTCTGCTCTTGGAGGAGTCGGCAGCCCCTTCCTGTTCCTTAAGCAAGGTCACTAGCCCCTCAAAAGGCTTCAGTACTCAAATCCCACATCCTCAGTACCCACAGCCTAATCATTTCCTCCTTGAGCTCGCCACCCTTGGCTCCCCCCAGAGGAGCTGTCCTGGACTAAAGCCTTCTTAGCCTAACCCAGGCTGACCCCCTCCCAGTCTCCAGTCCAGGAGCTTCACGGACACAGTCTTCCCTGAGGCTCTTCTGGCAGAACTTTCTGCCAGCAGCAGCATCACACCCACCTTAGCTGCTCTTTGACCTGGAATCCTCTCGATTTCTATCATGCTCCGGTCACAGAGCTGCCAGCAGTTTTGTGACAAAATGACATCGTTCATCTGTGCCATGCCCTGTGCATGACGCACATCATCCACTGTTTGACCAGTCACCAGAAAGAAGTTGCGTGTTTCATCTCCAAAGACCAATATGCTGATGTGGCCAGCAGCCACTCCTGGCAAGAAGACAAGCAATAGGTTTGCGCAAGCAATTCCGGGTTCTTTTCTAGGAGCATGGGCTCTTGGAAAGCTCAGCATCTTGGTGGGACTATACTTTCTCAGAGCAAAATCTCACTTCCACATTTTTATGTAAGAATTGGAGAATGGATCTTTGAGGCCCAGGCCTTCCAAGACTCCCCTTCTCCCAAAGCTAGAAAGTTTAGTCACTAATTTTTGCCTTTCTATTTGTAATACTCAAAATATTCAAGACCTATGCATAAAAAATGAGAGAGACTTTCCTTCACCTTTCTGTGACATTTATCTCCCTAGATGGCCCTATCAGTTCCCAAAGTTACTTTACCTTTTCCTCAATTATTTATACTGATGAGAACTACAGTAAAACTGCTTCTATTTGAGGGAGAATTTGCATTTTAACAGAGATGGAGACTCTGACTAAAAAGAATTGCTTAGGTAGAATTTTAGACAACAGCCCAGAGGGTGGGGGAAGAGAAATAGGCATCTGACAGTTATGTGTCCACCCCAAAGATGGGTTCTCTAACTGTTTTCAAGTTGGAAGATAAGGTTTTCTTTCTTTCTTTTTTTTGAGTTGGAGTTTCACTCTGTCGCTCAGACTGGAGTGCAGTGGCACACTCACGGCCAGCTCAGCATCAACCTGCTGGGCTCAGGCGATCCTTTCGCCTCAGCCTTCCAAGTAGCCGGAACTACAGGCACATGCTACCACCATGCCCGGCTAATTTTTTGATTTATTGTAGAGATGAGGCCTCACCAAGTTGCCCGGGCTGTTCTCAAACCCGTGGGCTCAGGCAATCCCCTCACCTCGGCCTCCTGAAGTGCTGGGATTACAGGCTTGAGCCACCATGCCCGGCTGAGATAAGGTTTTCATACTTGAGCAACAAAAGACAGATACTGTAAGATGTGACATGTACGCAGAATATATATAAATGAGCTATAAGTGATACACATTTCTTTTTGATATATATTTCTTTTATCTGACTATAATACAATGAGTTTTTTTAATCTTTGCTTTCTGCTGTGCTTATATATCAATATATATTTTGTTTTTCATCTGAAGCACCCTGATGCTTAGACTCATTAAAAGGTGCTGAAACCCACCTCTCTAATTGACATGCACATGACGGGCTTGGGCTCGCCTGATTCTCAAGAAAGATAATACACCAGACTTCCTGGGTATTAACTTGAAACAATTATTCAGTATTATAATGACTTTGATTCTTTTTAACAAAATATTTTATTTTTGAATAGTATCAAAAGGGAGCAAATGCTAAGAACAGTTGAGAAACAGCTAGTTGTATAACTGCTGATGAGCTTTTCAGCTCCAACACCAGAATTCAGTTTTACAAAGTTTAGTAAGACAGAAGATAACACCAACAGCACTAACTGTAACTCTGTTACCCATCATGGATGCCTCTCAGAATGATGTCTATGCCTTGGGACTACAGTGAAGTAAAAATGATGTAATGTGTGTAATGTCAGTAATGCAATATGGTAATAGAAGTTATTGCTTCTATATTCAATGCATGACCTAAGACGCCCTGCATAAAGCCTGTGTTGCAGGCTGACCAGCTAGGCACATTCTTATAAGGTGGGGGCTAACCAGTCTCACATTATTGCTGAACCTGTGGAATGGCAAGCTACTCTCCATCTTACTTTATACTGCACAACCTTGACAAGCAGCAAGATATAATAACAGCAACAGCAAGAATGGTGATAAAGACTATTTTGTTGAGTGGTTACTATGTGACAAGTACTATACTAACTCATTTACTTTTCATAATAGCTTATTCTGTGGCTATTATGATGAGCCCAGATTCTCTTAACTGGTAAGTGAGGGAGCCAAAATGCAGTCTAGTCAGTCTGATTCCAAAGTTCAACGGATGCAGGGGTTGGGCTGCTATGTTCCACTGCTATTCTCTTCAGGAGAGAGATGCTCCAGGAATCAAGGCCTTTGTGCCAACTGCTGGATGTCTGTTCTCTCTCAAATGCTTACCTATCTTGACTCCGATATCCAGGCCTTCTTTGGACCCTCCGGCCTCAAACAATCCGTGGATCTCCAGGCTGCATTTCACTACCACCGTGATCACGTTTTTTAGTTGCTTCCGCTCCACCTTCCACAGAGCTAGCAGTGCGTCACCTTTCAGAGATAGACACGTGGGGGCTTCTGACTTGCCCTGGGGAGCCATCTGTTTATATGGGCTCTGTACAGAAGTGTACTCGTCAAACACTCCTCCACCCATCCCCTGGCCCTTCTTTCTCTGGGATGCTCCTTTGAGCACAGGTACCGCCGCGCTCCTTTCGTGCCCCTCCCGTTTCAATTGGCCCCTGTACCTGCAAATTTTAGGATGTCTCCTCCGAAAATCAACACTTCTGAGAAAAACAAACAAACATTAAATCAAACCCTGATTCCTTAAACTAGTAAAAGAATTCATTCTTCATTCGTAGAATAGAAACTAGGTCAAGAGAGCAGCAATACAGAAAATAGGATTCTACCAAAGATGCCATCCCAGCAAGTCACTTAACCCTTTGAGTCTCATTGGAAGGATGAGGATGTGGAACCAGATTGTGTCTAGGCTCTGTTTCTGTGAAGAGGAAAGACAGTAAAGAGGAAGGTGGCGTTTCTGATGAAGGACAGCTGCCCTTCTCCCACGATAATAGAAGGGTTTTGATTGATTTATCAACCGATAATATGTTATAGGCTGGGGCTTGCATGAGCACAGGTAGGTGGATGAATGACAAGATTCACTTCACAAGAAGAGAGAGACAAGAATCAGGAAATGAGGGTATCACAACCATAGTCAACTGGCATTTTGATGATCACCAACTTTTGTTTATTGAGACTTTATGGCATAAATGGACACTTTTTCTTTTAGTTATGCACCAGCATGAGTTTATTGAGCACCTCTTGTGCCAAATGGGATGCAAAAAGGAATTAGACATCGTTTCTGCTTTTATGGAAAATTATGTCTTATCTGGTGGGTAACATTACGCTATTACTAGGATGCTTAAAGCCTGATAAAAAACACCATGTCTGGAGTTTACCTTAGCAGAGAAAACTCTTTTCATCATGAATAGATCAGATTAACAATGCAAACAGGATGGCAGGCAGAGAAGGGTTCAAACTTTGCAGTTACCTGTAAGTACTTTAGCGTTCATTATTAGGAGACAAATTACTAAGTTAATTATAACTCATTCTTATCGATTCATATAACAATCTCTAATAATCATTAATAATCTTAATAATCATTAAAAGATTGTGTCTGAATAGATAAGAATGATATGCTTGGGTTATACTACTACTAGCTTTTAAAAATATTTATTTATTTGCTTATTTATTTATTTACAGAGACGAAGTCTCACTATATTGCCCAGGCTGGTCTCGAACTTGTGTGCTCAAGCAATCCTCCTGCCATGACCTCCCAAAGTACTGGGATTGCTGGTGTGAGCCACTGCACCCAGCCTCTTAAAAAAAAATATATATATATATATATATTTTTTT